AAATAATATTAACATATCTGTCCATATTTCAATTTCCACCTGTATATTTTCTAAATTTTCTCGTCATTGAATGCGACCAATTACTAGTTACTTTTGCATTTCTGTGTTTGCCTCTCCGATTTAACTTGTCTTTAACTTGTTTTCTTGTGCACGAATTGAAGTTACCGATGTTCTTTTTTTAGGGGAAAAAATACCGACCATATAGTAAATGTTGAAGTCATTTGGGACGTATCTAGTTCTTTCCTTTTGTGTACTCTCTGAATAAGGAATGTACAGAGCTCGTTACTACGATTAACTTCAAAACCTCAAGCTACCGATTATAGTACATCATTTAAATTTTAATTTCTATTAATTATATTTACCGTTGCTTAGCGGTACGAGGTGGCACATAACTTCAGGGGTGGTTAGTGGGTTAATTTTTGTGTTAATAGTTCATGGGAAGATTTCATTTTTTGTATTTTGCATACTCCTTGGTTAATAAACGATAATTTTCCTTGTGGGTCAATTGTTCTCTTCTTATACTGAAGCTACGTTTCCTAATTCCGGTGGCTGCAGATAGAATTGTAAACGGAATTAGGTGGCGCCCGAAAGGCATGAATCGAAGCACCAGTAAGTATTAATGGCGGAGATTTACTTGGAACCTTTTATAAATTGTTGTCAAAGTGTTTAATTCACTTACCTACTACCCGAAGTAAGAGCATATCTGTCTACGCTGTTAACTATTTGGCTAAGGGAGGTAGCTGGCCGATCAATGGCGTGTGTTGATTTCAAATTGCACATGGTATTTTATAGCGCTTGCATTCTAAGCTTGCGCGTTATATATTGCATTGGGGTAAAAAAATGACTCCCCCACTTTTTGTTATGGAAATACACGTTTTGAAGCATCAGGAATCCCAATCACACAAAATCTCAATGATGTCGGTCTGTTGGTCGGTTCGTCTGTACTCTCTTTTCCGGCTAAACTGCTGAACCGATTGGAACCAAATTTAGTACACATACATTCTTAGACATAGAAGGGCAGAATCGCACGTGCTAGCCAAATTTTATGAAGACATTTAGACATTTCAGTACGAAAATCAGAGAATCCTTCTATTGCAAAAGCTGAAAGTATGAAGTGTGATGAAATTCAAAATTACTTTGGTTTGTTACTATCGGTTTTTGAGAAAAACGACCTTTTTGGGTCTCTTATGAATATTTTTAATTTGGGTGAAATCGAATTGTAGCTCAACACTCGTCCAGAGAAAGTTCTCGCCGCACAGGGATGTCAAGGTGTATGTATAGTGTTTCATCATCTGCGATAGCTTGTTGTAATGCAGAAAGGACCTTTCTTCCTCCCACGTGTACAATGAAAAGAAAAAATAAAGAAAAAGTGGGAAGATGACACTCGGCGTCAAGTATTTGTACCCCCGGAAACCTGCAGGTAAAACCTTAGTTATCCCGGATGGACATGCTTCCCACTCGGGATAATAATTATTTGAAAAATAATAATTTCCTTTGCGCGTTTTGGTGTTCCTCAAGTCGCTCTATTTACTAAAACTGCTGACAAAAGGAGACAAAAAACCAATTTCGTCTGAAAAACATTTGTGTTCTTTGGCCACAATTCAATTGAAATGTGTGATACAATTCTAGAAAAAACAAAAAAGTTTCTCGCGTAATGAATTTTACTCTGCGCGGAAAATTAATGCGCGATTTTGAAGGGCCTGTTACAACTGCGCTAATACCAGATTAGTTATGTTAGTTTTGTTATATTACTTATTACATACTTACAATTGGAAGCCCATATCATTCTAGTTTAAGATACCGGAATATTTGTAACGATATTGCTCATAGAAAAAGAAGTATGATGGTGTAAAGATAAAAGAACACGTGTTTACTATCGTGGTTTTATCTTCAAATACTTTAAACCTTAAAATTAATTATTTCCAGTGTTATTAAAAAATTACAAATACCATCATTTAAGTACATGCACTGTTGACAAGCTCTCAATGAAATTTCGTGGCTCTGTATTAAACGGACCCGGAGTAAAAAAAATAAATAGTGGAGCCGCGCGGATTATCCATAAGCCGTAATATAATAATGATATCTTCAAACTGCCTCCTAAAGTCACGGCGCTTTTCTGCCTTATCTGTAACAGATAACAACGCAAACAAACAAACAAGAGGGATAGTGAATGTTTAACGTCCGCTAGTAATCAGGTAAATCTTATACTATAATCGTAATTAATACTCAATAAGAATCAGTAATAATGACTTTACAGTAGCAAAAACAAAATTTTGACTCAACCACGGATCGTCCGTACAAATCGGTGAATAAAAGCATGAACTCAAGAAAAACTACTTTACTATGCACAAATAACTAAATTTCTATACAACATCAATGTAATTTACTTAATTCAAAATGTAAACAAAATAGTATGAACAAATTCTTCGGAGTGATACAAATAACGTAATTTGGAATGGTAATCGGTCACGACAAAAGAAAATTACGTAGGATCAGAAATATCGAAGCGATTCACAAAGCTAATATACTCCAAAAGGTTTCGTAAATACTTGCAGTTAGACACGAACGATTAGGTACATCTCCAGGTGTGGCTAATATTGGCCGGATTATTGGGATTGTTAAGAAAAACACTGTAAGTAATTTAAAAGTTTCTTATTTTATTCGTCGCCCGCCTGCGCCCGTGTAATATGTTCAAACAAGCTTTATAAGCTTCTCTTTTTGTTTCGTTGTGTTTTGGAAAATTAATGCTTGTCAATTAATTAATTGTGTTTATTCGAACCCATTGTGCCATCCGGATAGAGTTTTTCGTCAATTTCTTTTCGTGCACAAGAATTATGACAGGTGTTAATGACAATTTGTGTGGTTGACTCTTCGGAAATTGATCGAGGCCATCAAGTCTCACAAATTGAGAAATTTTAAGTCAACATTAGGATTTTTCTTTTAGCAGATGCCGGATGTGTACGAGGAGAGATGAAAAAATTCTAAGTTTCAATTTTAATTTGTTTTGACCTAGCTGGACGGGTGTTTTGTGAGTGGTGTTAGTGACCGCATACCATTGCACACAGCAATGCATAGCAAAATAACAAAATTTGAACAAAATCCGTCGAGCCGTTACCTAGGAAAACGGCCAACGCACAATTGTACATAGGTACGTACTTACGTACACACGGACGGAAAATTTTATTCTTTAAAATTTGCTTAAAATGTCAATATTTGATGTTTGTCCACAAAACGGCGATCGCAATTATATCCACCACATTTGAATTGCCCATTGACGGGATGAGTACCAGACTTTAAATTAGCAGGACAAATTAGCACAAAACGTGAATAAAACGAAATGTTAAAAATATAAATGTTGACACTACAGTGAGAAGCTGGCGGCACATCCCAAAAAATTTGAAATTCTACCGTGACTCGCACAAAATTGTAAATTAGCAGAATAAATTAGCACAAAATGAGACCAAATTAATGCAATAAACAATTTTGAAAATACCAATGTTGACACTACAGCGCGAAGTTGTGAAGTGAATGTCATCAGGAAAAAAATGAATTACTCATTTACGTGATGAGCACAAAATTTTAAATTAGCAGCACAAATTAGCACAAAATGAGCACAAAATTATGAGATACTTGGAACTTAATTCCTTTCAAGTCGACACTCCAACTTCACGGACCCCTGCCAAATAGCACAAAAAGTTGCTATAATAGCACAAAATAAATTTGAAACTGGTGCACCAATCTAAAGATTGCGGTATTATCTGGAAAACCTTTAATTGGCATTAATAAAGAGACAATTTTCAAAATTGGAAAATGCTTACTTGGAACGCTGTAGACGATAAGAAACAATTGAAGTGAAATAAACAATTGCACCAAGTTGTAATAAAAAGGTGAAGTATTGTTGACGTAAGGGCAAAGCTGACCGAAATCGTTCTAAAAGTCAAAATTTTTTCCAGCGGCACTGCGACGATGAGCTCTAAACTAATTCATCGTGGAATTGAATGAACTTTTTTACGCTGACAATAATGAACGATCCTGGGGTGCATAAATGTGACGTTTAACTTTTTTAGGTAGGTAAGCAGCGTAACGTTCGTTCTTTTGATGTAACAAAAAGATTATAACAGTTTCTAACCTTAATTAACTACCAGCGCTGATCGGTACACTTTCTAAGTTAATTAGAAATTAAAGCATGAAACTTCCTACTGTTTTTACTTCACCTTATATACCCGAAGCGAAAATTAAACGTTGAAACCACGAGCCGTATCTAAATTATTTTTAATCAAAACGTAATCCAATACCGCACACGCATCCCTCACCCGATCGCGATTAGACCATAAATAGCTCCCCTAAATTACTATATATATGCAATTGTCAAAATATAAAATTATAAATCTCACGGTCCAAAGGACCGAACCCATGGATGCTCACGATCCGTGAAGTCTCATAATGGCGTATGTGTTCGCGACTTTGTTATTTGTTATAAGACTCAAAATGATATAAATTCACCCCTCCGCCGCCGCGACGCTTTAAATTTGGCGGCCACGAAATACTCACAATACGCCAATTTCGATAGAAATCTGGATGAAGCCTGAGATATCGAGTCAATAGAGTGGAATATTAGGGGTTGGTGGTTTATTTGGTTGACTATGGAGTTCCGCGGTCGCGTAGCAACGCTCCTGATGTCTTCATAATCCGCCACCGGCGCTGATTGGTCAGGGGATGCTTGGGAGGGTTGCATTTCGCTCGTTTCACGCTGACGCGATTTACCCTAAATGCAAAACGATTATTGTTCCACCGCGTCCATTTTAGCCGCGTTATCCGCGCCGAAATCGCGCGCGTTTTAAAATAAAATGTCCGGCCAATTAATGGCCTAAGTTTAGAGTGTCTTCTGAAGGCGCCTCGCTGTATTTCAGCCGTGGAATCTCGAATCGCTATACAGTATGTTTCTATACTTTTGCAATATCGCGGAACGAGCGAGAATAGATTTCTAAAAATTCCCTTACCATGATCGTCGATCCTTTTCCTCTTTATGCTATTGCCGTTGGGGTCGTGCTGTAGTCCTAAGATGCCGTTGATGCTATAAGCTCCAGTTCTTGGTTCCGATAATTGCGTCGCGGGCGCGTGGGCGATTACCGAAACGGGGCCGCCGGTCCCCGTGTTCGTCACGTTGCCGCCGCCGCCGAGCGTCGCCTGCTGATGGACGGTTTTCGCCTTCTCCGCCGCCTTATTCCTTACGATCCTGCAAAATGAAACTTTGTAATTGCAATAAAGGGGAAATTAGTTCTAATGCAATTATGTAGGCATTATCAAAACATTACTGCTGTTCGTGTTTAACTAGCACTTAGTGATGCGTGTAATGGGCTTTAACAACTGTTACACTCTAACTAATCGCAAAACGGAATTAAATGATCATCAATATTAACGTAATTAATTTCTGTTTTGCGCGAAACAGTGTAAGATAAATCATATCAATTCGAAACATCATTCGGTCACGTGCCGCCGCCGCCGTCGGTCGCGATGTACCCTTTTCTAAATTGACTTTCGGGAGGGTGCAAATATTGACCTTCTCTTTTAAACTAAGTCGCTGCCAAACTGGACAGATTTATAAATGCCATTTTTTCGCAACCCCCAAAAGATTTTTGAACGAAGACGTTCGAAATCGGTTATCCACTATTTTGCTGGTCCTTCAGCAAAAGCCACTTACGTAGTTAGTAGCTATTTAATCATCGAATTCGTTGAGAAAAGAACTAACGATGTTATCTCGATGCTCGATACACGACCAGTTCTAAAATGAAATTCAAATGGTTCTAAAATGCACTCAAGACAAAATATTGAGAAAATTCAAGGCAGACTTAAGAAACTTTAAACATTGCAAATTCCCCCCAATGGATTCTAAAAACCGCACATGCAAAAAAAAGATGGCTCAAAAGCTCTAAGATCTGAAAGATCGAAATGCATGAAGGGAACGTAATAGACTCTACGGGCCGTTCTAATGTTGTTTAGAAGTTATGGAAACTGAGTTCAAAGACTCTAAAAACTAGAGCGGCTCCAGATCCTGGTCTTCAATCGGCTTAAAAACCCAATGTTGAAGTACACATTCACGGACATGCTCAACAAAGGCTTAAAGATCTTCCTAAGGAGGTTCCAAATTCGATCCAGTCGTCGTCGTGACTTCAATTACCTGCAAAATCAATCAAGAATCTATATACAGCTTCAAAATGTACTGTAAAAACTAAACAGATCAAAGAGATTAAAATGTTCCATGCGTGAACTTGGCAACGCTGCGAAAAAGTAGCACCGCGACATGGTTATCTAACCATGTATAGAGCCAATCGAAGCACAACAATATTCTTACAACCGAAAATAGCACACAATTAGCATGAACTACAAGAACTAACAATTTTACACCTTCGCTTTTGGTAATTTATACGAAGTTCGTCAAAGAAATAATTTAATTTTGAAATGGCTATGATTGGACCAAAATCCTTCCTCATTGACTACAACGACGATTTTGCGTAATTTATCCAAAAATACGGACTTACCAAACCAGTTTTATACCGAAACAGGTGTCAAATTGTCTGTAGAATCCAAAAATGTAAAAATATACAGGATGTCCCATTAAACATAAAAAAAAACTTTCTTCGTATTTTAGAGGACATGAATATACTCATATTCCGGCATGGAAAATTAAAATGTCAACGCCGTGTAGAAGTTATTTCGGTCTAAACACCAAAAATATTGCCGGAACACCCTGTATATGATGAATATTTCAGTTCGTTAAGTTAATTCGATGGGTTATTTACGAATGAAGGCAAGGTGGGTTTGTTTTACTTGAATTTGTTAAATGCGTAATTCTTGTTTAAATTTTATCGCTTCTGTAAATTATACAATTGCGATATTTAAAAAAAAGGCTACTTCTGATCGTTTTTGATAAAGAATTTTATTATCAGGCGAAATTTAATTAACGCAAGTGTTCTGGTGCTGATTTTGCTCGTTTCATTTGGAGAAGTTGGGACGTTTGGCGCGTTCCGTTGTGATTGAAGAGTTATTTGAAAATTTCCGAAAGAGTATATTTTATGGTGAAAGGGATGTTTCCTTAGATATTAAAGACAAAGAAAAAACGAGCTCGCTGCTGCTGCTGGTAGTTTTCGCGAAGGTAAAAAAAACGTGTTCATTTGTTTACGCTAAGTTACGGACATGGTTTTGTTCAAGACGAAGTTCGTCATTTTTTAAATAAATCTGTGCAGAACTAGTTAGCCAAAGTTGTGCGAGAAGTTTAACGGGTGTCCGTTTATGGAAAAAGTTGAAAAAGGAAGCAGTGTACGTACTAAAAGTCAAAAATTTCTACCGTCCGAACAGCCACCGAAAATTTTGTCATTTTGTTCATTAAGCTAGTAATTCTGTGTTACAATGCAAAATGAAGTTCAAAAACTGCTAGCGTTTATGTGAGTTTATTGCGGCTCTCTCGCTCGCAAATCTTGTAGGACAATTTCTTATTTTATTTGTAGACTGTCTGCGTGCGGAGTATTATGTCCAAACAAATTTTGTAAGATTTTTTTTCCTTCCGGGATTTTGTTTTATATCTTTCGTGTGTCCGAATAAATTTTTGTCATTGCCAATCAATTAATTGTGTGCTACTGAAATCCATAAAGTCAATTCACACACAATAAACTAAACTGCCGACCAGATTCCAAAATCAAAAGTTTTAGAGCTGGACAGGAAAGTTGCTAGAATCTATGGGGAATATTTCAATTTGTTAAGTAAATTCGATGGGTTATTTACGAATAAACACAAGGGTTTGTTTTACTTGAATTTGCATTTCAGTATTGGTTTTCCCCTTAGAAATTTTTGTTAAATGCGTTATTCTTGTTTAAATTTTATCGCTTCGGTAAATTATTCAATTTACATAAGCTGTTAGAAGTAAGACACATCTGGTCAAATTTGCGTTTAAAAAAAGGTTGCATTTGGTCGTTTTCGATAGGGAGTTTTATAATCAGGCGAAATTTAATGTGGTGCTGACAAGGAGATGCATATTTTACGAAGAATTGCTCGTGTTCATTTGTTTAAGCTAAATTGCGGCCAGGCCGGCCCTTTCGTTTTACTGAAGACGCAGTTAGCCACTTTTTTAAATACTAAATATGTGCAGCAGCAAGTTAGTCAAGGTTTTGTTAAAAGTTGTCCGTCATCTAATCCTTTGTTATAAAGCAAAGTGAAATTCAGCAACTGTTAGCGTTTGCGTGAATTTAGTGCGTCTCTACTGCAAACCTTGTACTACCAAATTTCGTATTTTAATTGTTAACCGTCTGCGTGCGGGGTAGTATGGCCAAACAATCCTTCTATGCTTTTCTTTCTTTCGGAGATGTTGTTTTATTTTTTTATGTATTTCGGATTCAGTTTTTGTCAAATTCTATGTTTATTCAAATCCATTGTACGATCCGGATAGAGTTTTCATGTTTGATTTTTATTATTGGAGCACGAGATTTATTTCAGGTGTTATCAAAAGTTCAAAATTTGGTCGAGGTCACTGAACCTCTCAAATTGATATATTTTAGGTCAATATTAGGATTTTCCTTCTAGCAGATGCCGAATGTGTACGAGGAGAGTTGAAAAAATAGCAGCAATCGCGATAAATATCTAATAAAAAAGGTTTATCCCAACTCAACAAATAGCACAAAATTTGCATCACATGGCACAAAAATGTGTCTTCCAATCAAAAATGTTTATGCCATCTCGACTAATAGCACACAATATGCATCAAATGGCACCAAATTTACCTTCCATGTTGAAATTCGGGTTGTACCGTACCCAAACGCCCAAGAACACAAATTCAATAGAAACAAAAAATGTTTATCCCACCTCAAAAATAGCCCAAAATTACCTTTTGATGATACCGTAATAAATCGTGGTAGTACCCAACTTCACAATACCTATAGTAACAAAAATGTTTATCTTATAACAACAAGCACAAAATTTGCATCAAATGGCACTAAATTGTGTTCCAATTCTTTGATCACTTTGAATTACCATTTGAGCCGTACTGATATAAAATGTGATGTCTGTTCAGTACAGGGTTTGATATTTCAATTTATTAAACTATATCTTTATACAGGGTGTTCCTAAATACGGAAGAGCCTAATTCTTTGCCTTATTTCATGACTAAAATGGGTCAACAAACTTTTAGTCCGAGAGTAAGCCACAGAATTAGCCCCTTTCGTAATTACACCATCCTGTATATAACATTCTTTTCTACGTACGTGTGTTCCTAATTGAACTCCTAAATGTATATCCGGATTTTGTTTTTATTAAAAAAAACTGTTTTCCCGTTGATGTCGCACTCTGCTTTTTCGCTTACCGAAAACGATACATGCGCCTTGATGGACGTTTGGAAATTTTCAATGAATTCGATGAAACAAATGAATTCAAAAAATTTTAGGAGAATTATGGATCTATTTATTTATTCATTTATTATCCCTCTCTTGTTCTGGGCCCTCAACAGGCTTGCGCCCCATTACAGAGTGCTTTTTAGAGATTTAGTACTTATACACCTCGAAGAATGCTACGAATAAAGAATTTGAATCATCTAAATAAACTAATGAATCTGAAGAAACTTAGGAGTTCGAAGACTCCCATGTATTTGAACTTTGGTTAGTACAGAGACCACCCGCACACCTGCGCATGCGCGATTGCTCCCAATATCTTTTCAGCTTTTCCTTTTATGTCTGAGAGTATGTGTACCAAATTTTGTTCCAGTCGGTACAGACAGACAAACCGACAGACAGACACACCGTAAAGTCGACAGACCGAGACCGACAGTCCGATAGACCGACGGACCGATCGTCCTCATCGAGAGTTAGTTTGGTTCGGATTCCTTGTGCTCTAAAATGTGTATTTCCGTAAAAAGGTGGGATCATTTTTACCCCAACGCAATACCACCCATACTAACGTACGGGTGGTAAACATTTGCTGTTGCTAGCACAGATACCACCCTCCACATCTGCGCATGCGCGATTCTGCCATTTGCGTATGGAGTTTTATTATCAGGTGAAATTTAATTAACGCACGTGTTCTGGTACTGATAATGAGATGCAGATTTTACGAAGAATTGCACGTTTCATTGACGTTTTGGTGCGTTCCGTTGTCATTCGAGATTTGAAAATTCCTAAAAGAGTTTATTAATTGTGAAAGTGTAGGCAACGAGAAAACGAGGCTGCTAGTTTCGCATTTCGTGTGCGCTAAATT